GGACCTCCTGGGCAAAGGAATCCTGTTCAACAGTCTCCCAATCTTGAGCAACAACTTCCTGTTCAAAAGTCTCCTGATCAACAGCCTCCTGTTCAACAAATTCCNNCCCCCCCCCCTAATTGTGCGTCCGTTTTTCAACGTCACTGAGAAATCGTAAAAGAATACTGCGGCCAGCGACCAACTACCTCGATGGACCTACCCAAAGACCTAGGAATTTCATGTAAGGGGAGAGAGCAGATGATGCTTACCGTAAATCCATCGGCTCTCCCAAACTCTTTACGGTTCATCCGGGCCAGAGGTACGCAATGATCGGTTGGGCTCATTCCGTCCCGAACCTAATTCACCGTTACCTTCTCATGAGCCTTTCATGTAAAGGGAGGGGGCGATCAAGCTTACGATGAATCCAACTACTTTCCACCTTCACATCTCTCTTGTGTACCTCTTTACACCTGCCTTAGGCCGGTGAATCTTCGCATGGATGTCGAGAAGTCGTTCAATCGCAAGCTCTGAAGTCGTTCAACGTCGTCTCAGTTTTTCTATAACCCACTAACCTAGCAAAGCTTATGCATGTTCCTTTACATGGTCTCTAACCTTGGCACCTGGGTGTTTCAATGGATGGTTCTTTTCCCAGTACGGAAGAATACGAAGGAATGCTGATTGGACTATGAAAATGGCTAGGATGAGTGTTTGTGTTTAGAAAGACATTAATCCGAAAAGCATTTGTCCGTTTCTTCCGGCAGCAGGAGTTTGATGAGCATACAGTCTGATATAACAGCATTCAGTCCTCACGAATCGGGATCCGAGTCTAACGCTACCGCAGCCCAATGCCGGTTCTTCAGCACCTGTGGAGGTGACGAACACTCCGATTGCTTCTGCACCATTTATTGCACCTCATATGGTCCCGCTGGAGGTTGCTCCTGAGCAACAAACTCCAAAGCAACAGCCTAATCAAGGACCTCCTGGGCAAAGGAATCCTGTTCAACAGTCTCCCAATCTTGAGCAACAACTTCCTGTTCAAAAGTCTCCTGATCAACAGCCTCCTGTTCAACAAATTCCTAATCTTCACCAGTCTCCTAATCAAGGACCTCCTGAGCAACAACTTCCTGTTCAACAGTCTCCCAATCAAGGACCTCCTGAGCGGCAATTTCCTGAGCAACAAGCTAGCGGGATTGCAAGCGAAGGAGTCAAACTAATGCCACCGTCAGCACTTGAGCAGCTTGTCACCACCACTCAAAATGCACCGACACTGCCGGTTATCGAACAGAGCCCTGGTAATAGCACAAGCTTACTCACTTTCTTTGCACAATTTTGTTTGTAAATACTTATTCATTATTGTATCCTTACAAATATAGGTTATTGGAATAGGATTTGCAATACTCAAAACCGACCTTTTTCACCTCCCATCAAAGTGGATGGAGAGGCAGGTCAAGTGCTCCCCGAATTCCCTCACACACCTTTTTGAGGTTCTTCAGCCTTAGCTCTTCTCTGGGCGGGATATATTTCACCTTCCCTTCTAAGCCTCAGGGCTCAGACTTCCTTCCAGAAATGTTTCTCCAAACCTTTGACTCTTTTTACTGCGTTTTTACGGAATGCAGACCGTATACAGCTGCCGATTGCTGAATTCCTGGACACCAGAACGGAATCCTTCAAGCGTCTAGGACACTTCCTTCCGTAGTGACGTAATACAATACATCACTCAGGGGCTTTAACAAGAAATTATGGCTTCACTATCACAAGAAAAGTGCAAAAGTTCTGTCTAGGGCAACTTCACTCTTAGTTCTTGGATAAGGTTTCCAGTGACATCATGGTGGCTACAGGTCCTCAATGATATGTTCAAGGTCTTCAGCCTGAAATTCCTGCGAAAGGCGCATAGGTGCTGCGAAAATGTCAAATTTTTTGTGAAACGTGCCCAACCCAAATCTTGAAGACGAATTGCTAGCTTACTAGGCACAACGTCGAAAGGAAGTGACAGCGATATCCTCATACACACTTTTATAACGCCCACATTCATTTAGGGTGGAAATAAAGGGCAAAGAACTTGCGCACAGATATCATAACATTCTGTAAGGGCAGCTTCTTCGAATTCATACAGCAGGTCCCAAGGAGTTGTCGGGATAGCTCCTGTTCTGTTGCGTTTCAATACTTCCGAATAGGTCCTTCTGTACTAGGCGAATGAAGTAAGACACGCCTAGTCAGATCCCTCGTGGCCACAACACAACACCGGCCATCCCTAAATAAAGAGGTGGGACGACCTGTTAGGGTGACGACCTGTTTGGGTGACATGGACTACGGTTCGCTGGGGAACGTTCGTTGCGCGCGTCCCTCGAAAGTAGGTCACCCCGCCCATTTCGCGCGCGGCGCACCCTACTGAAATCTTGAGACGACACTACAGTACGACCAAGTGCCGGTGGAGCGAATGATTTGAAGTTATCTTCTCTTTTGCTCACGGTCGTGGACCAAGCGCAATTCGTATGCCCCGCTTATAACTGCGACGTTTGTCAAAGATCGCGGGCTGACCCGCCGCATGCGATGGCTGCGGCGTGACCTAGTTTCGACGGACGCGCGCAACGAAGCGCACCCCGGTTCGCTGCATAATTGGATAGCTAATAACGCCCTATTCGCATTGAGAACATCACATATTGCCACTTTTCTTCGTCTGACCACTTGGGTACTTTTTCCCATGAGTATGTTCCCAAACTCCACATAACCTACTCAATTTTTGGCAAAATTTTCAACATGACTTTTCTGACAGCAAATTATCGAAAGTTCCAGCAACCACTGCCGCACCACAACCACTTCCCGTCGATCCAAACCTTCCACCAGTCGACAAAAGCGTCGACCTCGATGGAGATGGTCGGCTTAGCCTAGAAGAAGTTCAGTATGCCGCTTTCGTCCACCATGGATTATCCGGCACTGTCGTTCAGGACATGTTCAACGAGGTTATTATGATATTACAAGAAACACTCATCAGAATGACTCATTTATAATGAACAGATTGCTCTGAGCTAATGGGATAAGCCATAGAATCGGCTCTCTTTAGAAATCGCGATGAGGTCAGAGTATCTAATCGCCCCATTCCTAAGGGGACAAGCTGATAAACCTGTTTACTCTACGTCGTGAATATCTCACTATATAGATGACCGTGGAGTGATCAAAAGAGCGGCCCATTCCATCAGAAATCGTAGGGGATAGTCGTGGCATAGGATACTTTATACCATATCCATACTCTTCTTATACTGTTTTTGTTATAGAAAAAATTATTAAATTTTCATTTCAGGTAGATCACAACAAAGATGGTTATCTCAATTCAGCGGAATTCAACGACATCCGTGCGTTAGTGCTAGCCAAAGCCGAGAATGCTGCTCTACGTTATATGCAGGCATGTTCATACCAGAGAAAAAGTGAAATGTCCAAGATCTCCCCTTGATCGCATCTTGGATACGCCATGTATTTGAAGTCCGCATGAAAACGCTAGTCATTCGAGGGTGTATTCGGTAATACTGACCACCTCCTTTGAAGATGTGATCTTTTAATTGGGTCTCAGCCAAAGGAGTACAGGCTACAGATAAATTCCTAGTGCGGTGGCCGGCCCAGTTACCAGGTCCTTGAGGACAAGTTTTGTACCAATTAACTGCTAGGGACTGACTAGCAGGGATGGAAAGCTTAGTTGGTCCGAGTGAATTCGATCCGGCAATAAACGAACCATACCACCTAAGCCTAAACCCAGGCTACAACCACAAAAACAAAGTAAAGATGAAGATTTTCTGTGTCACTCTCTATTCTTTCCAAGCGACTAAAAATAATTTACCAATGTAATGGACAGCTCACAGTCGTGGAAAGTAAATTTCAATTCCTATAAAACCATGACCAGAAATTCCATGAGGTAACATTCACCTTCCAGAGTGTTGATACGGATAAAAACAAGCTACTTTCGCTCCAAGAAGCTCAAGCCTATATTCTCAAGGATCATGGCATAGGTGAGTAGGACATCTCAGATTCTGAAGGCCGCCGGTGTAACCCTGTTGAAACCTTTGGTCCCTGTTACCTGGTGTCAGAATGAGTCATTCTTTCTAGGATCCCGTGATGTCGAACGAATCTGGAAGTTGGTCGTACCAAATACTTCAGCCGAATTGGATGCACAACAGTTCAGCAAGCTACGACGTCGTATTCGTGGTATGACCATTAGACTGGCCAGACAGATCATGAAGGTCAGTTAGGCTAGACGACAGTCTTCTCATTTTTGAGCTTATCCTTTCAAAATCGAAGGTAAAGGTCACATTGAGCCCAGGTCGCTGAGCACGACCAAGGTCATTGAAGATCCTGTTTAAGCCAATAGAGACATTCAGATTGCTGACACTGACGGTGATGGACGCATTTCACAAAGCGAAGCACAGGCTATTGCTTTCGAACAAGAAGGCCTTGGAGCTGGTAAAGTGGCCAATCATTTCCGTTCATTTCCTTTAAAAAATTTCGTCGTTTGGCAGAAATCTCTTTTAAACAATACCTTTCATAGGAGACGTCGCTCAGATGTTCGCCAGTGTCGACGACAATAACGACGGCGAGCTGAATGCTCCAGAATTCGCCGATTTTGAACGTATCGTTCGTGCAAGAGCAGTGGAAACCAGTAAGAAAGCGCTCCGAGTAGGTTATACTGCAGTTTTTCACTTCTTTCTGAGGAAAACAGCATCATTACTGCTGTACCCAAAAGAATTCGTCTGTCTCTGACCTTGGTTGTTGAGAGCTCTAAATTCGGAAGAAAACTATCAGGTTGATGCAAAGCCCTGGGGCACTGGGATGCACGTTTTGAATTAATTTACACTTTCATTCGAGCACCCACTAAATAAACTGTGTACTAATCAAGTGAGCCAACAAGTTCATTGCATTACTTTTGAGGTTACGGAAAGTGAACTTCTTTTCGAACAGAAACTGCCTTAGTTGCTCAAAAGTTGGTGCTTAAAAGGGACGATTTCGGGGGAGTAGAAAGGGTGTTAGACCCAGCACTAACATTCAGGGGTTGGATAGAAACATTTCTCTGTTGCTCTTCTTTAAAAAATGAGCAAGTTCTCTCAACTGATTGTTGTAGAAGGTAGCCCTGACTGTCTAGCCTTGAGGGAGCAATTTATGGGTGAGTAGTCCGTTCGTCTAATCAAACCAGCATTACAGTACCTTTTTCGAGTACTGTTCTGCCTTTGCCGAGCTCATTTCTTGAAGCTGATGCTTCCAAACTTGAAGTAGGTGCAGGCGACAGGTAGAAATTGAAGGAATGAACCAGGAAACAAACATATACGTGGCTAGAGTAAGACTCGGATCATAATGGACCAGGCGCTCACGAATGGCGTCGAGGAGTGTGTCTATTTCCGAATCCGGGTTGCGGGCGACAGTTCAAGTACTGCATGAGAAGGAAGCGAGCCTGTCGTTAGCCGAGAGACTGGAGTAGTGCCGTTCGAGGTGGATGAACTCCCCGTTCACTGATTGTTGAAACGCCTCCAAAGTACCCTTCTTGAACCCTGCCTTTCCCATCCTGGAACGTAGGGACAAGCAAGTTGTGATACATATGACCCATAGGTCTGACTTCGAAATATTCAAAGAAAAAAAGTTATGTAATGACCTAATATTTATGTTTGTGGTGATCTGGTCCAGTAGAAGCCTTGTGGCAGTGCACATGTGTTTGCACTAAGTAAAAAGTAAACGAATAAGGTTACGTACAACATTATGATATATTTACTTTTCAAAACAGATTAGGTGAGCGGCTGCACGAAACATTCCCCTAAATTTACTTCCTAGACCGGTTCAATACAGGTGGGGGTGGTAATCGTCGCTTAACCTAGCATAAATTACTCAACTGATTGCTTAGGTTGTTGATACCGATGCTAGCAACACGCTGACAATGGACGAAGCTAGACGAATCGCATTCGAACACTATGGGTTTGATGAGAACGTAAGTTTCTACACAGTTTCGAATTTCCAGCCTTCATTAGATCCCTCTCTTAATGGCAGTCCATCCTAGTTTTTTTTTTTTTAATTTGAGTTATTTTCTTCGATAAAAGCAATTCCAAATATAAAATTACCTGTTGTTATAAAGAGGTGGATTTGGCCTTCGGATAAAAACATTGAAACATTTCTAATACTTGACATACCATGACATGGGATGAATCAATTAAAACAGTTAAGAAAACATGATGCTAGCTTGACAAATCCAGTGCAACCAAATATTCCGGTTCCCATGAATTCGAACTCGTTCCACTACTATATTAACTAAGGGAGAAAACTGACCTGCACTGTTCTTGGAGGTCCACCGTGGATTGTCCGATCAACCATCCGTAGTCGCTGTATTGATTTGTCAGCAAATTATTTAGCAATATAGAAATCAATGATGATGTCTGAAACTCAAAAATTACGGTCACTCAAGATACCAACCAGGAGGAATTCACTCACTACTAAGGGTTACTGAGTCCGGATTGGAGTACGTGCGATGATGCTGAAATTTTCCAGAATATCTGTGACCCATTCAGGATTTCCCTATTTGCAAAGGTAAATATTACCAAGGTAAGTAAAAAGTAAATGAACAGAGGAATAACTGACCTTGTCAAAAATGAGCCCTATCCTCTGTTGCGTAGCTCAGCAGGAGTGGGTGGAGGATGGCATAAGGGACTTTCACCGAATGTATTGAGTAGTGGTGGTCAAACATTAAGTTGTTGTTCCCCGGCTCAATAATTGTATCGAGTTAAAGCTGAAAGATATGATACGGAATTCGATGAGAAACACGATGAATTGAGATAGAATTGATCAATCCTGTTCTGGAATGCGCTCAGCATTTAACTACCACCAGAATCCCAGTGGCATTTGATGTGTATGTGGCCTGTACGATGACTTGCAGTGGCCACCCGATGTACAAGCACGTTTATCCTTCCAGACGAATTCGACCTTGGAGGGATAGTAATCTTGGTTGGCTCGACTTTGATGGTGAAAGCCATGGTGATAAATTTCTTGAAAATTCGTTTTTGGTTAATTTTAATCAAAAATCGAAAGGAACGTTTGATTGAGCCTTTTTCTCAGTTTCACCTGTCAAGATGAAGGCCTAAAAAAGTCGGACAATTTTTAGATTTGCCTAAAATGATGCGTTATCATGTAGAATAAGCAGTTGGCCATGTGTGCCCTTCCCCAGTAAGATTGACCAGAGTTTTGACTGATCAAACACTCTCAAAATAGGCAGATTTTCTGTAGTAGCCGCGCTCAGACCGATTCATTGGCAAAGCCACTCTATACAAGTAAAGTTCAAAGCGCTAGGTGCTTTTTCAGTTGTAGTAGGTATGTACGACCCTGACAAATGTCTTCTTGATTCCAGAATGACTTCAAGATTTGATTCATTTTCCGCATTTCCATCCTTTTTATGGAAAAATTATGGACTTTATTAACACTCAAGAAATCTTTCAAATTTTTGAACTCAGTCAGATGCTTTTTAATATACTCAGCATTACTAATTCAGACTCTCGGACCATTTTTCGATCAAGCCGACGAGAACGAAGATGGACAATTGGATGCCGTGGAGTTTGCCGGGTTCCGATCTGTCATCCGTAATAAAGCTGTTCGAAATGCCGCTCTTGTTTTGAAGGTAACTGTGTAATAAAGTTAGGTAGAATACGGCTTAAAAGGGTGAAAAGATGAGGTCCCAGTGGTGCATGGTTCCAAGCTCTTAACTCTTTCTCGGAATCAGTTCCTAAAGTTTTTCTCGCAGTAAATGGAATTTTTCCACAGCGATAAACCTTCAGTACATCAATTCCGACCTTATAGGCGCGATAAACGTCAAATTCGAGAGGAATTCTCATCAATGAGCCCATCCCATCCTGACACCTGAAGACCTTCCTAAAATTTTTAGTATTCTTCACAACCCAGAATTTTTTTCGCTCTGCCAGTTCGAACACCTCTCAGTACCGATAGTTTCCCTCTACACTCAGTGAGCTTCCGATATTTGATTACTTAATTTCTGGGAGCTTTGCAGGAGATCGACCTTGACGGTGATGGTATGGTGAGTTTGTCCGAAGCCGAAGAAAAAACAAAACGTGAAGACGACATGGATTCCCAGGAGACCGCAGCACTGTTCAACATAGCAGATCAGGTGAAAATTCATTTTTCCCACTGGAGTCATGTTTTAATGTTATGGAGATGTTCCAGAACAAAAGCGGTAAACTTGATAAAGTTGAGCTGGCCGATTTTATTCGACTTGTCCGACTAAGTGCAATTCGCTTCGCAACTGATCACTTCAAGGTGAGTCGTATTTATAGGGTATCTTACTGGAGGAGGGGCTGCACAAATTTATTGAATTTATCGAACACTATAAGATTAGGAAGGGAAATAAGATAAATTTTTCTGAAGCTGTAATGATAGAGAGTGATCATGGCATTCCCGGCAGTGGGGGATGGGTATTAGGATCGGTTTCGTGTAATCGGTCCGCCGCGCGCGGCAGTCGCGGACCATTTGCCTCGTTACTACAATTCTAGCGTTCTTCATACAGCTCAATCGATATGCGACTATTATTTTTGGCATGATTTTAATGTTAGTTCTATTGTTTATGTTTTTCTTACATACTGCTGCGTTATGCTATATCCCTTCGCACGCGACGTTTCTCTCGCCGCGGCGCGACAACTAAGATCCTACTGCACCACACGCCCGGCCCTATGCACCTGTCAGTCTTTTGTTTGAGAACTTTGTAGCTCGGAACGTGAAATTAGTATATTGATATGAGTTTCTAGGTACAAAAGTACTTGGTATTGCAGGAATTCGACATGAATCATGATCGACTCGTAACCGTCGATGAACTGGCCCAACTGATCGAAAATAAGTATAATGTGCCGTATGACATCACTAGGGAATTTTTCGCTAAGGTACTTACCTTTTCAATTGATCTCTGCTATTTGCGCATTAGTACACGCCTTGTTTATATTTACTGTTTACACGTCGCGAGAGTTTCCTGATTCAAGATCGATCATGATATGAATTCGCTTTTTTTTNTTTTTTTTGTTTTGCCGAGGAAGAATTGGGCAACGTAGTGTTCTTGATTCCTTTGAAAATATGGCAATGGGGACCGGCCTCTCTTCAATCACTTGCTTCACTTCTTTTTTGTTATTGGCATATGTCCCTCATCCCAATTCCATGTATTTATAATTCAGGGAAGACCCTACCGAGATACCACTGATCCCAAACTTTCAGTTAGGCTGCAACTTTGAATCGCTGAAGATTTAGTTTGGAAATTCTTGATTAACCATATTTCCATGTTTAGGTAGACATCGATGCCTCTGGAGATCTCATCCCAGCAGAAATTGTGGACTTCCGGTGAGCCATATATTTTAACCATTGAATGAATTGTCCCAGGACCACCTGGACTTCGTTTTTTTGTGGCCTGGACGTGAAACAGTTCTGAGATGTTTTGTCTGAATGGTTGTCGGTTTATCCGAAACTTAAATTGAGGTGAATTAAAAATGCGCAGGCAAGGGGTGCTAAAGAAAAGGAACCTGCATAAAGTTTCATGGAACTATTAGTCAACCGAGTGAAGGAGGGCAACGGTTTCAGCGGCCCAGTCATTCCCCCCAGGATGCGCCACTTATTCGACATCCATTTGGAATTGATTAGGAAATGGAATGCGTGTATGAACTGATCAATAGTGTACAGTGATCAATTTAATGTTTTTATTTTTCTCGACCTCTACCTTCCCACTCAAATGCCTCCCAAGCTTTCAAGGCTTTAGAAATGCTGAGTAAGTGCTCCAACACAACTGGTATCTCAAGGGCCACAAGCAAAAGTAGGTTTAGAATGATATCCTCTTTGATTTTCTCATTTCTAGACATGAAATACGAAAATACGTGGCTCTTCATCCATCACTGGCTGCTGCCGCTGCACAAAAGGAGGAACAAGAAGATGTGAGGTCTAACGAGCATATGCAAACTAATCGAATTCCGCGTAGCTATTTATGGAATCGCCGCCGCTATGAATGAAACCGAAATTCGACTACTGTTTACTAACAGATTTACTCATTGTTTTCCTGTTACTTGTAAATGCATTCCCGTAGTAATTCTATGCACATATATGTAGTATTATTGATTCGCTATAATAAACGAAACGCGGAAATCGTGCAAATCATCCACCATGTCCATCCATTGCACGATTTTCATCCTCTTCCCACTTCTACCGTCTTGTAGTGCATGCTCATCGTTTTGTTATGTGGACTGTGGTAGTTTATCTTAAGTTGTTGAGTAGTTGTTAAGCATGAGTTAGGGCCCGGTTATTGGTTGTCCTTTCTAGCGAGTAGAAAGGCAGGACGGAAGAGGAGCGGTTGGGTTGCGTTCAGTAAGGCTTTCTCTTACGTAGAAACCAGGAAACGATAATAAACCCAGCTTTGTCGATAACATCGTCAGTACCTTCAACCGCGACGCGACCGCTCGCCCGCTCTCAGCGTAGTCTGAACGCATTTGTAGTAGGTGCGTTTTTATACAGACTAGTCCACTCCTAGTCAGAAATATGCGTGGAAACGCAGATATATCCGTTCTACGCAGACCAATACGTGTT